GAATTCCTATCTGAAAATAACCCCCCCCCCCCCCAAGCCCTGAGCTCTACCACATGCACCTCTGGCGCTTGGCACACCAGGCTCAGCCAGTCTGAGAGCTCATCTAACACCTCCATACGGGGCCCGGGGCGGAGATCAGCCCCCATTGACGCCCTCCCTCCGCAATCTCGTGTGCTCTGGTCACTTAGTCAGGGAAACGCGCCTCTGCGGGGACCTGCGCCTGTTCCGCGGGCCGCTCGGGAGAGGGCGCGCGGGCATCAGCAGCTCACCGGTCCCGAGCCGGAACTCCGCAGTGCGCCGCAGTTTCCAGCCCAGACAAGCTGGATTCGCCCTACCCGTGCGCATGCGCGCAGGTGCAGGGCCCCCATCCACGTTCTGATGTTCATCCTGGTCCACAGTCAAGGATGGCTAGGAGGCTGAGTCTCTCCGTTTAATGCTGTCAGCCTCGCTAAGGCAAAGATAATAACGATGCAATCAATGTATTGGGCTGGATTCGCTTCAGAGTTACTTTAATTGGGGGCACACTGTTTCTAAGCCCTTCAAAGGAGAGAAAAAGAATCCTATAGGATGCAATTTCAAAATTACTGCTGAATTATTACATTCTGTTTATTTATTCGAATTAACCGAGTCCATCTCCAGATGTCAAGTCACGTGGATGGAAGGACCAGTAATAACTCTACTGCTGAGAAATCCAACAGACGCAGGTCATGGTTGGTGCACGCTATTCTTTGAGAAACATCTTATTCTGATTAAGTAATATAAAGACAGGAACACAGAGGAGCCATGTGTCTGCCGTCACTGTCACTATGAAAGTGACTATGTGCCCTTTGAAAGTGGTTTCTTTACTCTTAGCAAAGGTATCGTTTACTGGGCGCTTATTGTATGCCAGACACTGCCAGGCTCTACCTGTGAGATTTCTTTTGCTACTCACAAGCACCGCATGGGTTAGGTACATTACAGAGATGGAGGCTCAAGGAGGGTGAGGGAATACCTGTTTGTTGTGTGGCCCAGGCCGGTGACCTTAAGGTATGTCTGTGTTAGAAGGCTGGCGGTGAGCGCCGAGTGTCTGGCAGGAGTGGCTGGGAGCTAGCATTTTCTTTTCTCTTCGCCTGAAATCCGTATTTGAAGGGAATTCCTAGTTGACTCAACCGAATGACATTTTTGTGTGTTAGGAGTTAAATCATCAGCTGCAAAATCAACATTATCACCTGGTGAGTAAAATTAGAACGCAGAGTGGCTGTGTAATGGTTCTGTTCTGGAAGGCTCCATCAGTGTCTATTAGTCTGCTTTTTGTACTGGACAATAGATAGCCCTTAACTGCTGAGTGTGGCTGTGGCTTGCAAAACCAAGGACTGTGTCACAACCAGACGGCAGGTAGTTGGTGGCAATCAGAAGAGAACTAAGAAAGCAGATGTCAGATCTTACTGAACATACCCTCCGACTCCCCTAAACTCAAGTTCCAACTGGTGGGGGGGGTGTCTTATACTGAGGTCATTCATGTCAACCAGGCTAGCCCGTTCCCTTTCCAAATGCTTGGATACCAGGCTACACATCAGAGCCTCATGGTGGCCTACCCACTGTGGGCAGCCCTGTCTGTGACAGAGAGGAGAAGGGAGTTATCTCTAGGACATGTCTTGAAGACAGCCAAGAAAATTCCTTCAAAAACACAAACTCCTGCCTTCCCAGTAGCAGAGATGATGTGACTAAAACCAGGTTCATTTCTTTTTGGGTTTTCCCCTTCTGAATACATTCCCATACTTTTCCATGGGAACCACTCAATTTTAGCTCTGAACTTTGGCGATCCTGTACAGTCCTGTTGGGCAAAAAGTGCTGGATTCTAGGTAGATGAGGCAGGACAAAGAGACATGTATTCCAAGATTTTGTTGAAGTTAATGGAAAAATGATACATCCTTTTCCTTCTAGGTGCTAAAGAATGTGAGTCCATGGCTGTCAGTTCAAAGAATCAGAGCAGAGGGAAACTGAGGACAGAGGGAGAAGACTTGACCTAATGTCTACTTTTGAGTTCCTGGATCTAGCCATGCCTGAGAGAGAACTTTATCCTGAACTCTTCCCCTATATCAGTGAATATATTAATATATTTCCCCTTTTTGCCAACTCAATTTGAGATGAATTTCTGTCCCCCTGTGGGGGTTCCTAGAGTCAATGCACCTCTGGTCTTACACAGTCTGCTCTGAGGTCCCCCTTAACAAGTCCCAGCCCCAAGCCTGGGTTTCCTCCTCTGATTGGATGGACGGGTAACCTGCTTGGCCTTTGACAGTGCTGACATCCCATGACCAGCTCCTGGATTGAGTCTAGGTAAGAGATGACTGCAGTCACTCTTACCATGTGGCAATTCAAATATGGGAGGAGGGGTTTGGGGAGACGGCTCAGCGGTTTAGAGCACTGGCTACTCTTGCAAAGGACCCGGGTTCAGTTCCCAGTGCCCACCCACATGGCAGCTAACAATCATCTGTAACTCCAGTTCCAGGGGATCCGACACACTCTTCTGCACTTATACAGATGCAGGCAATACATTCATACACATAATATAAAATAAATAAAAATGAATGAGTCAAAGAGGAGAAGCTGTCCTTCCTTGGACAGGTGTGGTTCCCACACAGGTTTTCGGACAAATGAAATGATGTTTCATATTATGAGTCTACATACTTTTTTACTCACAAATGAGGAATATTTTTGTTTTCTTTCCTAGAAGACCTGCAGAAATGTGATCACCCTGTCCCGTGGCTGGCTGTCTCCAGTCCCCAGCAGCATCAGATTTATGTCACCCATAATCACCCTCGGTTCCCTCTGTAATAATATGCACTTGCTACGTGTTTACAAGTCAGAATAAAACGACTAGACGGGAAGACAGGAAGTGGAGCCCAGACAGCACTATATTTGTGACCCACCGTGCCACCAGCGCCAAGCTGTAGACACACAAGTTTTCCCCCATCAAGTGTTGTCCGGAGCTTAAGCTTTCATAGAACCTGGTCAGATTATCTGAAACCTCCCTTCCATCTCTGCCACCTCCTCACAACCCCTGTGGTTCACCTGCAGATAGTTCTCAGTTCGCAAGGTGAGATGGCAGAGGGTCTGGATGTTAACCCCGTCTAGGATGTCAGCAGAGTCCGGGGGCATAAAATGAACCAAGTGAGGCAACTGGGAGCGGCAAGTGTCTGAGCTACCTGGGGGCCAGGCGGGTCTAATCCCAGCTGGGCCTCCCGGGCGCCCCCTGGAGCCAGGGCAGGGAAGGCAGCTTGGAGTCAGAGGACGCAGGTCCCGGGCGCGGCAGGCAGCAGGGTGCGGGAGCGCACACTGGGTGGCAGGCTCACCCAGGCAGGGCCGTACCGCCTTAGCCTGGGTCTGGAGGTCCCCACCGCCCTCACGCGCCTGTGCCGCAGCCTCACCGCCCCAGTCCTCTGCAGACCCTGCGTTTCCTGGGCCTGCTGCGGGTTCAGGTCTGAGCCAGCGCCGCACCGCTGGGACCCCGACCCCGCCTGGAGCCGGATCGCTCGGGCCGGGGCGGAGGTTCCGGAGCCGGGAGCTATTTTTAAAAGACGTCAGTGGGCTGGGGAGGAAGAGCCGGCTCCCCGGCCCATTGTCTCCGCGCGGCGGGCGGGAAGGGTCTGCAGGGCGAGTTTCAAACCGCCGGGGCGCGCGAACAGGCTCGGCCGGAGCGGAGGACGGCGCCTGACCCGGGG